GTGGTGGTGGTGGTGGTGGTGGTGGTGGTGGTGGTGGTGGTGGTGGTGGTGGTGGTGGTGGTGGTGGTGGTGGTGATTATGAGTTCTGATAGGCAGAGCCTAAAGGTCCACAGACTGGCCAATAGCGTTAGCCCTAACTAAACATACCATGACACCCACATGGAGTGAATCTGTATCAGCAGCCACTAGACATTTGTGATGCTTGTTAACCATCCACTTTAGACAAAATTTTGCGCTTATGTCACGCCACAAAGCAATTAATCGTTGTCCCCAATCGCAGTAGTGTTTAAATCAGTCTGATCCAAATTATGCCTGTCAAAAGTTGACACATTGTGATACCGCTTTAAGGCAACTCAGATGCCAATTTAGCATTTTTGTTTTCAAAAATGTAACACTGAAAGATCTGTCAAGTGCCTCGAGCCAAACCTAGATTATCCATTTCCCTAGTTAAGTGCATAATGCTGCTTTGAAATCGTTGTTCACTCAAAACCCAAGTCGACATTTCTTCCCTACAGACCGATAATCTCCTTCCGGTGATAAAACCGATTCAAAATGCATCACACGTCACTCCCTCGGGCCCCAGTGTCTGCGGTCTCAATTGCGTTCCCATTTTCCCTAACCAGCCACCAATGGCAGTCCGCCAGGAAGGGCAAGTTGGCAGCACCAATGCAAGCTGCCTCGGGGCGATTAATGGACGCACGGTGTTCAACATCGCTTGTCTGTCAGTCGCGAAGCTAGTGGGTGCGAGGAAGCTTGTCGCGGCGACGCGTCAGCACCCAACCGACGCGTACTCGCCTCCCTCGATTCCCCAGCCTCAAAACCAATCATCTGTCGACGCAGACACAGCGTCTGCAACGCCTCATCTACCTAACATTAATTGACCTCTTGTGTTTGTTAAACGAGTGATTCAATTTTTCCAGATCTCTATATTCAAATTCGATGCAATGAATAACTGCTAGAAATATGTGCATTGAGTGGAATTGAATAATGTGGGTGTAGTAGGCTTGGGCATGACCAGAAGGCGTAGGGGCAACTAGAAAGGCTCATTGATACAAAATATTTGTGAGGTTTGCTTATATACTTGGTCCGGGTTGCTCCTGTCCGCCCATTGGCTTCGGCTTCGATTCTAGAAATAGAAAGACAATCTCGTGAGGGGATTGGCTATTCGGGCTATGGCGCTCTATTTGAAACTTAAGTGCTCCCCGCAACCGGAAGTCACGTGATGCCGCTCCCACGGCGCGCCACTGGCTCCCGACCAATGGCTGGATGCCAAGATGGCGTCCTTCTGCTCCCACGCTACAGTGGGTAGATCAGACTGATTGGGTTTGTGAATGGTGTTGATTCACGATCCCCAACTCGTTCACACCGTGGTCACTCACACCACCCTTCTGTCCACAGTGTGCCTAAACTATTTTGGTCACACAAATACGGCTAAACGTTACTTCAATTCACAGCACGTCGGAGTTTCAGTGTGTGGCCGTAGTTAATCGCAAAATATCAAAATTCTCAAAGAATAATTGTGTTATCTTGAAGCACATTCATAATTATTGAAACAAGAGCATCTCACACCTAGCCAGATTTGTTCTACGCGTTATGCGGTGACCTGATGAGACATTCCTAAGGCCTGGATTCCTTCAAAGACAAACAGAGACACATTTTAATTCGAATTATTGAAGCTCTACACACAAACGCATACTCTGGAGTCCTCCAGGTTAGTACTCAACGGCATAATTGATGATCCAATCACGTGAATGCCTCAGAAGAGGGTAGTTTGGTTAAAACAACAGAAGAGGTACCTTTTAAAGCAGTAATTTTGCTGGTTTGGTGCCTTTGTGGATTTTGTCACTCAGAGAGCAGAACTCCGACATACGAAGAGGCAGTAAGTTATGCCTCTGTGGCCATTTAATGTTGAATGTGTGGCATTATCTTAAGCTAATAGTTCTATCTTGATGAAGCAAAGACATTGAGTTGCAGTATATAGGGTTTTAGCACTACCTTGTAACCCTCTAGATAACAGGAGAATGGAAAGAAGAGGGGCGACAGAGGACACGACCGTTTATTAGCGTTACACCAACCAGGTGTGTGGATGTGTGAACGGATGACAGTAACCAATGAAAAGGGGATGAGTCATTGTCACCATCAGGTCGTTAACCCGGGTTCTCTCAGGCGCGATCGCTGTTAATTCTTATCTCAGCGTTATTTGTCAGGACTAGAGAACCAAATATGTGTGAACAGCACCTCTCCTTTAACGTTGGAGAGGACCCATACTGCTTCGTAAATCGACCTGAACTGGGATGGTAGTGATTTGGCGGAAACAAATTGACAAACCAGAGACGGTGTTTCTGCCTCAGAGAAGCAACACTCGGTCAACCCACACCATCCTTACTCCCGAATATCCCACCAGTAATACATTGTAATCATGTCACCTGCAGTCTCGTCTTACTGCCAGCACGAGGCTTGAAAGTATGTGGTAGCTGTCTGTGCAAACCTTATAAACTATCTTAACTCAAATCAACGAAGATGCTTGTAGAGTTGGTGGTGATATTCCGAGAGCACATTCCACCAAGAGCCGGTTCTAGATTAATTCAGCGAATTCATGTGATGGTTACGATGAAACGAGACTATAGAAAGTGCAAAAGGCCATAATATGGTCATCTAAACAAGGAAATCTTCGTCTATTTATCAAAATTCCTTTATAATAACTCGAAAATTCTGGAACACTTGAACAGAATCAGAGACTGACAGACCTCAATCGTGAAGGTAGCAACTTCAAATTGGGGGATCACGTAATCACCCCCCCTACTTATGGGGGGGTTTCCTGCTCGCCCAGGCAACCTGCTTCCTTAATGTCATTTAATTTTTGACATAAATGCCATTTAACCAAAGATCACGGTGAATGGATGTCGACGATCGAGGCATTTAACGTGCTGAATCACACCGACCTCAGCCAGATTTCTCTGGATGACCTATTTGTGAAAATCAACAACCACCCAGAGACTAGGAAAGGTGAAGAGTAGTATATAGTGAAATCAGATGGACGACGCCTGACGAACGGTTTTGGTGTTTTATTGGACAATGAAGCGTTCTTTGTTGGACAAGTCCTTTTCATACTTGTGCTCGGTTATTTTAAATATATCATTTATTGAATTGCCATGGAGAGTGACTGATAACTTCAAGGTCCCACTTCCAACTTCGTGTAAATTGACTGCCATAAAATGAGATGCTGTGATGTCAAGTTTTAGCAAAGCATTCTGCAGCAGATCAGCAAGCAGAGGTCTCTTGAAGTTGACAAATTGTCTGGCAGAGAATCGACCTAACCTGTCTGAATTACCTCAAAACGTGTTTACAAACTTGTGTGATTGTATGCGAACACCCGTGATTTGATACCTCTGTGTACATCAGTCATTTAATTCACATTTCGAAACAACCACACCTTTCAGTAATTAAAGCAGCACAACAAGGTGTTTAGCTGGTAATCCAAGTGTTTTCACGTGTGTCGCCCCTAGTGATTGTAATTACGCAAACCGGGGTGGTTAGTTTGGAAGAAAGCGTTTCAAGAGCTGTAATATTTTATCTCGATGTATGATGACTAGCATGCTTGTGACAAGCAGCAGATAAGCACAGTTAGCAGCCCTGAGCTAACGCTAGTGACAAGCGTGAGCACAGCTGTGTTCGTTCGGGGATCGGTGTTTAGTCGATCCTATATAAACTGACTTGCTCTCTTGCACAATCCACACACACACACATCGCTGCCGCATCAATAAATAAGTTGAGCTACGCGCCACCGTCACTTTTCATTTTCCTTTCGGTCGGGCCTTGTCAGCGAATATTGCCGGCCCTTGTGTGGTTTCCAAAAACGCATCGGTGTCCGCTGCACACTCTAATATTCAACGATCAAGCATTAATCACACCTTCATCTTTTTAGAAGTCTTTAGTCATAATTATGCAAGCTGCATTTTCGACTACAAAATTGGTCACTGCTTTCCGGAGAAAGGATGTCTGCAAATGAGTTGCTTAATCACAAATTCCTTGAAGATGACGATGTTTTCCAAACAGTTCACTCACTTCCTCCTTGCATCATCATTCACCCTGATAACACCATCACCAGTCCGCTAAGGGAATCAGCCGTACAAAATAGGTGATTTGCTGTGCAATTACAATTATCAACGTTTGGACAGTAGTTACAGGATGACCGATAGTGAGTCTGTGCCTTCTTCTCATTATTGAACTGCAGTTTAATTCGCCACTTTTAGGTTTCATGACAGATTTTCACATTTTAAATTAATGCACAAAAAACGCCCTTAATTGTGATGATTCTTCGTCCAGTGTCGCATTCGTGTAAGAGAATTATAAAAAATTATTTTGATTTAAAATTAAACAGATTGTAAGCTAGTTCTTTCCTGGAAAGTAATTAAACGGTGCATCTGCGTTTAAATATCTTCCTTTCAGCCATCAGTGCCAATGATCCAGGGACGACGATTTGGCTGCACCAACTTAAGAAGCCATGTGGCAATAAATGGACGCAATATGAAACATCACCTGGCTACTTGCAGCCAAGTTCGTTGATTCAAGTTGGGCAGCGGATGTAGGCAGATAATTTTCGACAACTGTATGCAATTTAATGGGTTTCCCAACTATGTGCTACATTCCTACCATAGTATTGGTAAATAACAAAGAAAATCATCAGTTCTCGCTTTCATCGTGTCAGTTCGTTTCTGTCAAGGTGATGAGATAATAAACCATAACTTATATTAAGCCCTAAATCATTCATGTGTGTTATTTTACCTTTGGAGGACCTATTGAGGAATCTGGCTATACGTTGCTTTTTTTAATTATGGTGTTTATTAGATTTAAATATTTACTGCCAGAGAAATTGCGGTCGCATTATGGAACTAACTATTCTATGTCAGTTTTTACATACCTTACTTGCTTAAAACGAAAACTAATGCAATTTTTTTGCCTCGAAATTTTTGTTTAACTATAATAAGAGGCTATTTAGTATAAAATATAAAAAACACTCGGTGGCTTTGTCGTCAAGGTTGTGCGTTTTAACTAATCAACGATTATCAACTTCCTCGCTTGAATAAGTCTGCACTATATAAATCACCTATACTTGATTTTAAGCCCCATTTCGTACTAAGGATGTGGGATTGTAACCAGAAATTAAGCGAGAATGGTCTGACCTATGACGTTACATTTACTTTTCACAATTCCAAGTTTACCTGTGAAAAGTCCATTTTTGGTTCTGCCAGTCCGCTTCTGAAGCACATTTTTGAAGAAAATCAGGATTGTGCTACTCTTAAACGATCTGTTGGAATCGCAACAGCGACTTGCCCAAATACTAATACCTTGATTTTGCATATTGACGAATCACCCGAGGCGTTTGAGGCTGTTCACAAATTTTTACATGATCCAAAGTAAGCCGTAGTTATTTTTTGCCTCCATTTCTGCATTTACTTGTTATTAATAAACATGAGTGCAACGTACAGATTAAAATTTTATTTTTTGAAAGTCTAGTATGGGTGGAAAGTACACTGTTTGCCCTTTAATTTTATCTGTTGGGATCACATTTACCGTCCTGATGTCGTATAACAGTCTTTATATCATGGAAAGACTTTTTATATATTAGAAGTTAAAGTTCAACGTTTTTTCTACTGTTACACTCATTTCTGTGTCTAATTTTCTCACAGATGTAGGTTGTTTCCTTTTTTCTTGTACCAAACAATTAAAGGAATTCATCTGTCTTGTTAATTTGTCTTTTTTGGTCCACTCGTTAGAGAAATTGAAATGAATATTGAACTTGGTATTCTTGTACAAAATGATATCTTGGTGCTGTTTAGCTTAAATTCGCCACTTTGAAGTTGCTGCCACTTACATTTCAGCAATCAAATTTGTTAGTTTCACTAACTCACTTTTTCTTAATTTCAGTGCTAAAATTGACGACTATCTTTTGCCATCCATTTGCCAACTTTCCAAGAAATATCAGTTTGAAGAAGTCTGGCGCGTATTGGGCAGTCGTCTTGCACACTTGGTATCACTGGAAAACATTGGAGGTGTGTGTGTGTTTACTGTTATCTTCCCCCATACTAATTAAGCTGTTTGTAATTTAAATTGTACGACATTGTAGAAATATGTCCACTTGTTTTCCTGGCTGCCGGCGTGGACACAGATGATCCCACGGCAAATGCACTTGCCTCGGCAACTCGATCATTTCTTGTGGACAATGCCGACACTATTGCCTGTACGCAAACAGGCCAGTTGTCTGCCCGTTTGTTTATCGATGTAACGGAGAACCCACGATGCCCAGATCGCGATGTCTTCGATATAACTGGCTCTTTAGCGTATCAGTCTGGCTTTCCAGACGACTGGGGATTAACGGAACTTGTGCTCTTTTACATTTCACGACTTGTTAAATATCGTGAACCTCTGGACGAAGGCAACTCCGCCAGTTTTGAAGAGCAAGTTGCCAGAAAGTTAACCAACAAGATTCATGCCCCTGCGCGAGAAACAGTTACGGATGAAATTAGGGTACGACCTGTCTTCGCCGCTTTTGTTTTCTACTTCTTTCCTCCGTTGTTTATTGACCGACTGTGAATGCTAATCCGGAAACTACTTTCACCCTTTGTTACTTGGATCCTTATTTTTCTTCTCTAGATGACCATTTCTGACAGCCATCTTCGGGATTTTGAAAAAACCGTAAGCATTGTGATATTCATCCCTGGTTTACTTTTTTCGCGCTTCCCTCGATTCCATTCACACCCAACCAATCATCCAGCCCACCTAATCTGCGTGATAACGTGTTATTTCTCACCTTCGTAGACTTCAGTAATCCGGATGGAGCGGATTTGCAATCACGTGCCTGGCGCACGCCACGTGCTTTGTGGCATGCCTTGTAAAAAACTCGAGTGTATGTGTGTGCGTGTGTGTCTAAGTGCGCGCGACCGCAGATCCAAGTTTGAAGTTCGTTGGGCAAATCTAAAACCTCAGCAACCTGGCTAGTTTGTCAACTCCTGGCAAAAAAAAATTATCGTGCAAAATTAAACGCATACAGTGTCGTTGTGTCTCGTGTTGTGTTCCCGGTTCAGCTGATTAAACAAGCGTCTGTTCACACCCCGTGTTTTTATGGCCTCGCCACCATTATAGACTCCTGTGTAGTGTAGTAATTTGCGTAATCAAGTGACTCAACAATCAAGACACTGCCATAACACCGATTTAACGTTGCAAGCCACCAGGAAATAGTCTGTTTAGATCGGTCTTATTTACATATTCTACAGTTTAATGTTGTTTTTTATCTATTGGTTGTTTGTGATGATGATGATGACCTGGGGTGTTGTTTTGCCACTAAAAGTATTATGAATTACACGGTAAAACGGAATTGGCTTCAGAAAGTGTTTGCCAGTCGCAGCATGCAATAGCCTAATGTGAGAACACTTTATGTGGTCGGTGATGATGACGTCGGGCTTTCCTCAATACCGTAGCCATTAGTAGCGTTTTCGTGCCACTGGCATCACGTGTCGCCCTGAGTTGTGATTGGCCCATTGTTTCGATATTGCCTTGTTGATATTAAGTCAATCAGCCGGATATGCATACGTCACTTCCCCCAAGTATTCAGTGTTTTGGAGGAAGAGAAAGAAGAGGGACGAGATCCAGGTGGAGAAATTGGCCACGCTGCGTTTGCCCAATTAAATCAGTCATTGTATTGCGTGGGTGGTAAGCCATTCACATCAACGCAAACTGGTTATCCGTGGTGTAAACAAGGCACGTGCATTCGAGGTGCACCTACAGGGTTTGTTTTTGTTTACAAAACTTATGTCTGTCAGTCCCGCCACTTCTCTTCTGCATCTGCGCTGCTAGTCAAACTGAGCCCCCTGCGTTTCCTCTAACTGAACATCCTAGAAGTCACTTTAACCGCGGTGACACACTTATCAGTCTGGTCTTCCGATTTGCCATCTTCCTGTCCCCCATCTTACAGGTACCGCCATCTGCGACTTCGGAGGCAGGCGATGCGTTCCAGACTCAGAAATCTCACGAGACGAATTCCGAGAGCGTCACAACCTCGGAGGCAGCCGCCAACGCAGTTGCCTCAGACAAAGAAACCTGCCTCCTTGCAAAGACCACTCTTGGAGGTGCGTGGTTTGCATCTACACTCAGGATTCTAGCTTAGGTTAACCGCCAGGTTCAGTTTAGCTTTAGCCGTGATTCATGCTCCCTGTCTTGAGGCACTTCTTTGCGTTGCAACCGCACCCTCTCGCACTGTTTCAGTTGGCTCGATCTCCATCCACCTGGGGAAACTGGAGGGCCGTCTGGTGAGTCTTTCGGTGAAACGAAAACCCATTCCCTCGGCCTCGGCTTCTGTCGTCCCCTCCTCAGCGTCGTCGTCGGTTACCGGAGGCTGTAACATGTTCCCGTGCGCCTCCTCTCTCCTCACCTCCGTTGTCTTGCCTCCTTCGCCACCTCCCAACGCTGCTGGTTAGTGGACCCTCAGCGCCTTTCTGTGTTTTATCCTTCCTGTTTTTTGCACTTTTTTTCCCTACCGCCTAGCTTGTTGCTTGAACTGTGCTCCGAGGGATACCATTCGCTGCGCTAAGCGACGGATTATTCCCACGAGCCCTCTGAAACCACTTCGAATCGGTAATCACCATTCTTACACGTTGGTTCGCATGTCGTGCCTCTCAGAAGGCTAAGGCTCCATGTGTGCCCTCTTTTGCACGCTCAGAGCTGCTCTCTGCTATTGATTTCTACGCATTCCACATTCTGCATGGTGTGAAGCAGACAAAGCAATTTCGCAGACTCCATTGTCAGGGAGTCACAATTGTGCATTGTCGTTGGTGATTGCGTCATTACCGCCTCACACTATTTCTACTATTAGCTTGTTGCATTGCACTAGTCAAAGTTACTGAGTGCCATTTCTTGGATTTCGAGACAACCAACCACCGAACGAGGAGGCGTCGCCGCCGTCCATGTTCCATCAAAACTGTGTTCTGCGTTCCTTCGGCTGCCTCCCGACGCCTTTGCTGGAGCCTAGATCCGCAGCCGGCGCCTGCAGCATCGTCGCTTCGAATACCTCTGGAGGGGACGGAGAGAAAGAGGGCGAGGAAGAGGAGTCGACGCATTGGATACTCGTGGCTGGTGGTAGTTCACAGGACCGGTGCCTGAGAACTACTGAGTTCCTGTGCCTGAAACACAGCTCGTGGGATGCAGAGTGGTTCGCGGGCCGACGTGGCTCCATAATGAGCGCTATCTCCGATATCGAGAGCGCCTCTAACCCCGGCGCCGGCGGCACCGTGAGTTTCACATGTCATCCCGGCCCGTCGATGCATTCGGCTCGAGGACGACTAGCTCTGACGTCGCTAGACGACGGTTTGAGCATCTACGCTTGTGGAGGCTCCGACGGTAACCAGGATCTCACATCGGTTGAGTGGTAAGAAAATGGTGCCTTTGTCTTCGTGGGGATCAGTGTCGACCAGGTAGCAGAAAATTTACCTCTCTCTCTTCGGTACATTCCAGTCTGATCGTCGATCCCGCCAACCCTGCCTCATCAGATGCCTCTAATCAATGGCGTTTCGTTGCGAGCCTCCAGCAGGCCCGCAGTTGCTCCGCCGCTGCCTCCCTGACAGCCCGACAACGCGCCATTGTGATTGGTGGCCAGTTGGGGGGTGCGCCGCTTTCTAGTGTGGAGGCCTACATTCCAGACAGGGACGAGTGGATCTACTTGCCGCCCATGTCAGAAGGTCAGCTGCCTTATTTCCGTCCTAGATAGCCACCACCTTCTAACCAGATTCTTTTCAAGGGCTCTTGTTACATTCACGAGCTATGGACTCACGTGGGTTCAAGGCTAGAGTGAGGAGAACTATTGTGCCTTAATTTAACACTGGTAGATGTGATTTTAGCGCAAAACTGCTGTAAGGACATTCCGCCCTAAGAGATAGCTAGGCTTGATTGAGAGGCCTTTTGTAAAGTGGTTAACCATCTGAGAACCAATTGGTTTTGTTTACTTCCTGCCTACGGACATCTTAGTTATTTATAAAAGCCTCATCCATGTGGACCCCGTGCGGTTAAGGTCACTAGTCATGTCTTTTCAGCCCGCAGTCAGCTGTGCGCGGCTGCTCTGAATACGCGCAATCTGGTTTTCGCGGTGGGGGGCGTGAGCGAGACCCCCAATACCCCCTGCACACTGCCGTCCCACTCCTTCACCTTCCAGTCGTGTGAGCTGACGGAACTGCCAGCCTCTGGTGAGGCCTACGACCCCCGCTGCTCCCATTGGATCCGTCTTCCCGAACTCATCAATCGCTCTCCTCTCATTGGTGCCTCTCTGGTCCCTATTTCTCCCTCATCAGGTAGAACCTTTTCCTCTATTTATCGATCAATTTCCGATAATTTACACACCCAAACAGGTAGATTCGTCCCTGGACCAAAAGGAAGCGTTTATTAAAAATCCTGTGAATGTCTGCGCTCATTCTGTTTACACAAAGTTAACACCAAATGTGGAATAAATTGCCGCGTTTCTCTGATTGGTTAGCAGCTGGTACGATTTGATTCTCCCGAACCCCTATTCGCTACTCACTAATCGCATTCTTTGATTACAAGGTGTCAGACTGAGCTGCCACCTAGCGTTAACCTTTCCACAACGTTACTGTAGAGTTCCATGCGTACGGAAGCTGCAGACTGCTAGCTTGTTGTCGAGCTGCTGTCTGTAAAATCGAGGGAAAGTCAACGTGTACTTATCCTTTCCGATTAGTTGCTAACACATTGTTCGTCCTTTCCGTGATGCCAGGTCGATTACTCTTAATCGGTGGTTCGGACGGTCACTCGAACATGACCCAGACGCAAATCTTCGACTCGCGAACCTGGACGTGGCTGCTGGGTCCCTCCCTGTCTATCGGTCGTGTCTCTCCCTGTGCTGTGGCCCTAGCACCCACGGTACAGACGTGGGACGCATCGTCGCCTTGCGTTGCTGTCATCGGGGGCTTCAACATTGCCGCGGGCGGCTTTCTTAACTCCGTTGAAGTCCTCGGTGTCACCATCACCTCTACAAGTCCGGGAAAGATTTCTCCTCTTTCCATCCCCTCCAGCACCCCACCAAAGAACCCCGTACCCACCTACCTACACCCTTCATGTGACAATTGACGGATAAATGTGTGTGTGTGTGTGCGCAATGTAAAAATGTCTCTGTGTACAAGTTATTAACCGCTAGTCGTAAACTCCACTCAGGATGTGCCCGATGAATTGGCCTTTTTGACGCTTGCCGGTTTCCTCGTTGTGGTAGTAATCTCCTTGTCAATTCTAGACTATGTAAGTGGTTGTTGGGTGTGCATGCACTTGGCTACTGCGTCTAGCGTAATGAAAAACAATCGGTAGGTCACCAATCCCGTGGCTTCCACGGTAATCTTGACTTGTAGTTGGCGCGAAATGGGGCGTAGCAGGTGGAATTGGCTCGGTTTGGTCACCAAGCCATGCTCTTATCCTGATTGGCCACCTGGGGTTTCAGGTCGGCGAATCCCATTGGTTGGTGGTGTGCTTTCAGCGGTGGGGATCAAGACAGCAACGTCCCTCAACAAGTAGACCCAAATTTGTTCAGTTGTGTGAAAGCCTCTTTAGAGATTCTCCCCTCCAACATAATATGACAGATCGTGCAAAAGTCGTTGTGGGTGAGCCTAGTTTGCAGGACCTGGGGCGTACACAGTCGGAAGTGAAGCCTTCGTTTGTTGTTGATCGATTTCTCGTAAAAAAGAATGTTGTTTAAAACGTGCGCGGTATTGTTCATTGCTGACGGTCACATGTTACCCATGGCGGGAACCATGGCAACCACAACGCACGACCTCTTACCCAAGAGATGAGTCGTTCGGCTTCTCTCGCGTTATCGTCTTGTAAACTGGCGTTGGTGTGACATAAAAGCGATTTGTTGCGTAAAAATCAAGCGTTGGGTTTGATTGGCGCAGCTTCGAAAACACGATCTCGTGCAGGGAGCCTCTCCCACGCCCACTTACACAAGCCCTGGGCGACCTTGATGTCAATCGACGAATGGGATGCGAGCGCGACCTGTTTTGGCTAATGCAAGCTGCTGTGCCTGCATGCTTAAAAACAGGGAAATATGTAAATTTGGGGATTAGCGAATTCGCCCGTGTCTTCAATTTTAGATTTAATGCGTGTTCGAAGTGTCCAATAGTTAAAAATTCGGTGTTGTGGATGCGATTGGTGCAATTTTCAAAGTTTCCTTGTAGCGTTCTTGACACTCATGGTGGTTTGTCGCCCTGTAGTCATGATCAGACAGTTTTTTCCGGTTACGCGATTACTGAACTCGAGGTGTAAGTAGTACATTAGACACCATTAGAACCGTGTTGCATGTTCATGCAATGGGTGGTGGGGTTAGGTTGAGGTTTAGTGTGCACCATTTTGATATTTGAAAAGTAGGACCTGGAATGAAGACGCTATTCAGTGAGTCAGCATTATATCTCCACGACAACTTCCACAGGACACCGTTGTGGCGACAGTAGATGATGGACTGTGACTTTCCAACTAGACGATAGACGGATGGTTCCGTGATAATATTTCTCGGGACTACTTATGCTACCAGTATCCAGCTGTTCATTGGAAGGAACGTGTGGCATGGCATGTGTCAGTCATCCAATCCCGTCAATTGCGTTTCGGCCACAAGGCACCATCAGCTCGGACACATGTGCGAACGTGACCAGAAGAAATACGTGGTGTAAGCTGCTTCACGCAACACACAGAAGCCGATGACGTCACTATGACGCGAAGACAAATTTAGCTCCAGTGCATTGGGTCTCCCGGGGAGAGAGAGTTTCCAGAAAATTCAGTTCGGCCACCGTGTAATCAGCTGGTTGATTTTCGGCCAAGGGCGTGAAACTAATCTCTTAGATAAACAATTCAGCAATAAATTTCCCTCGTTTACTTTGGGTTGCATTTGACGTACGAGGTCTCACGCACGTCCCTACAGCACCTACATTCCACTGTAGACAAATCAAATGGGATGTGGGTAATGGTTGTATGTAGACGTTTAAATGCCCCCCCCCAATGCTCAATTCACCTGATTTCCACTAAATTTAAACAAGTGTTTTACAAGTAGTATAAGCTGTCATGTCGAAATCAAATGAAGTCAATTCAAATGCGCTGCTGTGGGTTCCCCAGGATGTGGTCTTGAACCGCGCCGGGGCCACGGAATTAACCCGCGATGAAGAAAAAGACCGGAGAGGACGTGGAGACAACTGTTTACTGCAGAGATCAAACGCGTCGGTGTCGTGTGTGGAGTTCGCGCGTGTTAATTTACACCTCGGAGAGCGTGAGTCATACATGCGCTAACATCGAGACCTACGGGTGAGGACAATCCAAGAATGAGGGGGGGTTGAGGATCCGCGCGGCTGGCGACGTGCTGCGTAAAGGGGAACCCTGTGTCAGAGGATGGCGCGGCCTTAGTAAGGAGTGTATTTAAACACGATTCACAACAGCACAATTAATTAAATGCGTCAGTCGTCGTGTTAATTGAAAGACGTCAATCGTGATGAGCCTTTGTTAAGGCGTTTATGCAAGACAAAGGCTTCCAAAAGTACAATCAAGCGAGATTTACTCGAGATGATACAAACTGACCGCCTCAGAAAATGGCGAATGCTTGAATGCTGGAATTAAGTGTGCCACGGTTATAATCTGATTTTCAAGTTTACACCTTTAATACGAAAAACCGTGGAAAGTGGCATTAAAAGGAAGAAGGATTGGTCACCATTTTGATATCGTGTATAAGTCTGACGAGGATTCCAGCACGTTGTGTGCATAGAATTCCACCAACCGTGTCGTGATAAATTTTGTAGAATTCAAATACGGGAAGATGTGGTTTTGGGCCCCAGCATGTGGTCACGAACCACGCCGGGGCCACGGAATTAACCCTGGCCCGATTACGCTTGCCTGATACCCGTGATGAAGAAAAAGATTGGCGAGGATGTGGACACAACCGTTTACTTCAGAGCTCAACCATGTTGGTGTCATTGTGTCGCGGTTATGACTCACCTCGGCTGTGTGACTCATAACTGCGAAACATCGAGATCTAGGAGTGAGGATAACCCAAATATTCGTGTGAATGAGGGGGAAGTTGAGGATACGCGGGGCTGGCGGCATGCTGCGAAAAGGGGAACCCGGATTAAGGGGTGTGAATAAACAGGATTCACAACAAGGTCAATGTATCACACTCTCGCTTTCTAATATTTTTTTATCGTTTTTCGATAAAATTGGGACTCCTCAATTCCACAATTCGTCTTATAACCTTGAAGAGCCAATGATTGTGGTTGACGAGTTGAATCGCCTGTTGATTGGATAACTGGTTTCAATATATCGATCAGTTTTGCCTCGTTTGATGGTGAATTGCAGTTTAAAGCTCATTCTTGAATTGTAATAAATCTACAAGTTTGGATGCCCAAGCTCTTTTGCAGCGTAGAATCACTCGGTTAATTTAAAAATGGCGACACTTTCCACTGCCTTACTTTGTCTAATTCGTTTTTTAGCGTAACGATCAAAATTTTAAACTTCTAAAGAACGTGATAACATGCGCTACACTCTGCCAAACCACTAGGGCATTGCCACACCTCTACGCAAAATTTTTTAAAATAAGATTGGCACTGATCAAATGACACATCAAAGGTTTCTACTAATCCGCTTTTCCCAATCACCTTATGACGCTAGTGCCACACAAACTTCACGCCGCATTGTGTTGTAGTTAGCACGTTTTGTGTGGATTTCTTAATTTAGCTGGTTTTCGGAGAAACGTGTAATATCTACCTGATGAAGTTTGGCACAAATGCCTGCAAATGACACTTTCAAAAATTTTATCCCAAAAAGGGGGTTCTTTTGGTGATTCCATTGCCCCGCACCACTCCACCCCTCACCAAGGCATGTGCTGTGTTCTGCGATATAATTAGGCATGTGTGGAAAGTAGATTCGTGCGAACAAACATTCGGACGATGAAGACGAGCGATGTGATCGCGCTGCTGGTTGCAGCATCACCCCTCCCACCCTTCTAATCTAAATATGTGTAAATTTGGAAACTACACGAGAGCCTGTTCAATTCGCATCTAAAAGACAAAATTACGTTGAGTTTCGCGATGGCACAGGTGCAAGCAAGTTTGACACAAAAGTTTGCAACAAATGGGCAGTTATGCAGAACCGGTGGGTATCCATGGGGAACGAGAATTCGCAAGTTGGGGAAGGCTACAACACCTCCCAGGCGCGTGCATGCACACCGCTGAAGTCATGGTTGCCAACGACGCCAAATCAATGTGATTGGGCAATTCTGGCACATCAAACTAAATGACTGACTCAAAGCGATAGATAATGTTGATTGGACGATTTGAAAGGAGGCAAAATTTCACAAAATCGATCCCAGATTGATTGGAATCAGACGTTCCGGTGTTCTAGTATGCCTGGTGAGAGGGGACGATATCTCGGGCAATGGAACAGGCAGACTTTCGATTGGAATGTGATTGGACAATTCTTGCACTTTAAATTGACTGACTCAAAGCGATCGATAATTTTGATTGGGCGATTTGAAAAGGAGGCAAAATTTGCCTAAAGTCTATCACAGACTGGTCGGAATTTGACATTCTGGTGCAGGCAAATTAATGAAACTCGACGACTCCTGCTACTCAACTCAACCTATTCGAACAAATCAGACGCATGTGGGTGAATTTCGGAAAATTCAGAATAAATTACTCCCCTGTTCATTTTTCTTATCGAGAGCGCTTAAACTGCGAACTAATTAGACGTCTTGAGGCAGCAGGATTAACTGATTGTAGGTGTGATCGTGAGTTAAGGCACGATCAGCCAGCGATCACGTGAGTTGGACACCCCTCCCCCCCCCCACGAAATTTCAAACAATTTCCGGACCCCACGATTAGACACAAAGAGTGAGGGGTTTAGATAGGGTGCTTTTTCGTCAATTAGCAAAAAAACAACACGGGGAAAGACCACGACGTCACACAGTGGCCAATTTTCGGCGCTGTTTCTGCGTGTTCTTTCGCTTGCTCTTGAGCATCTTCTTTTGAAGCTTCTTGATCTTGGAAGAGGAGGCCTTGTGCGAGAGGATGCTGACATCCCCCTTGCCCATTGATCGGATCGATAGGGAGTCGTTGCGTTTCGAGCGCTTCTTCTGGCCGCCAAAGCCGTATTTGTGATTTTTGTAAACTCGCTTGTGGTTTATCCTGCCGAAGACAAACAAATAATTAAACCACTCTACTGACATCGTATAAGTAGTAAAGTTTATTTGGTTTCCCCATTAGTTAAAACTAACCAATGAGAAGCCTAGATTCCATTAGTGAGTATCGAAAGGAGCTTACTTGCGGCGTTTGGCGTATTCACTTGGTCGGAAGAAGTTTTTACCCGCCAACGCGTCCTCGGTATTCTTCCGCTTCTTAGGTCCACTGTTGTTCTGGAGAAACTCGGACAACAACTCCACTTTCTCCTTCCCACCTACAAGAGATGACGGCGGAATGCGAGGTCGAGCGACAGCCCTCGAAAAAACCTCAAACATTTCGAGAGCAGAGGGAGAGAGGACTCACCAGGACTCTTTTTCGCCGCCTTAAGGGCCTCCATGTGCTTCTTCTTCTCCAAACGACGAGCCTCCAAAATCTCCTTTTGCTGTTGCTTACCAAACTTGCGCTGTTCTCGCAATTGTCTGGCTCTCTCTCGCAACTCCAAGCGCTTTTTGTTCACCACGAGGTGTTCACGCACCTACAAACAGGACAAATTGTCATAACTACCTAAATGTAGTTAGTAGCGCAAATTATTGGGGGCGGAATCAAGAGGCGACAAGCACAACCGCAGACTTGCCTTGGTCATATGCGCGTCGGATTTGATCATCTCAGCAAAGTAGTCACTGGGGCGTTTCGTGGGTATTCCAAGCTCGTGTAGCCTTGGCAACGCCTCAAGCACCGCGGCCTGAGCGACTCGGTAGCTAGGTAGGGAAAATAATAACTTAAATAAGTCATACGTAGCATATGCCAAAGCTTCAATCCTATTGGCTCAAAAATGCAACACGTCGGGTTCAATGTGAAATCGCTTAAATTATCCCAACCGAGAATCCTTGATTATTGAAAATCGATACAGGGGGGCTACGACATACTGCCGTATCAGATTGTCCAGCCAATGAGCAATTATGTAACCCCGCAGCAGCCCAATCAGGCACAGTTATGCGGCGAAGCTTGCAAGTGTTCGTAAGCAACCTACAAGAGGGCCTCGCGTTTGAAGTCATCATTTGGGTCGACTTTATCGAAGTCATTTTCAAGATCTGTGTCTTTCGGGGGCGGAGCAGGGTCAGTGACGATATCGAGACGTTCGACCCAGGGCAAGCGGTTGCGGATTCGCTCCAAAGTGCTGTTGAGGAGGGCCTAAGGCGACAAGGAGACAAGAGCTTGCAGGTATTACAACTAAGACAAAACCCAAGTCCCAAGCTAATTACCTGATAACAATCAAGACTGGAGAGAAGTCTCCCTACATAGAGGACTTACAACAAGAAACGATGCTGCGTACATGATAAATAAGGAAACAAGGCAACGACGGCTTTGTTCTGGGCTGAATTCAACAAAGAACCCAAAGATATCAAATTGTTTCATAGAAAACCATTATCGGCGACATAAAAATCGAGATATCAGACGCTAAATTTGAACAAAAATTGGAATAATTAGTAGGTCTTTAACAGCAACACATCTTCAGGGACTGAACAACTAAACGGGCCAACCAAACGCGATTTGAAGACGTTTTCGGGGTCATAAAGAAAAGGTATATGTCAACATAAGGTGATAATTCGTAAGGGAAACTAAATATGACGCAAAACAACAAAACTGCGACTTGGTAATGTAACATCCGACGTCATGTAAACGTACATAATATCAGTGGGCAATAAATTATAATTCCAATTCCGAATAACAGATGGAAGTGAAATCAGTTCACACATAATCACAAATTAGGAGTCAGAAAATTCAAAGTGTCGAATTCGGCCGTGCAATCTTTGGTGTCAGAATATTTTGACCACCAGAACAGACGAAATCTTACTATTCCTTCGTCTAAGACTACAATAACAAGTATGGTGCATTACAATGGAGAACACCGCGGAATACAAAAAGCTTAAAAAACAAGTCAAAATGTTTAAGTTTATTACAAAAAAATAAAACTCTTAAAAATCGACTGCATACTATTATTAACAAAAATCTAGGTCTGCAATAACCAATCCATGATTAACAAGAACTTAAGCACCTCACCTTATTATTAATTGAAGCCCTTGGTTTCTGGATCTCCTGATAGACACCGGGAGCAGATAAAAGTTCTTGAAGGTCCTAAGTTCAAAAGTAATTATGTGCTCAATAATAACTTACGCTTTCTGAATCGCTGTCTGACATCAGTAATAACGACAGCCTAACCTCGTGAAAAGGGGTACAACGAACCAATGAGGTACAAGAACAGTGGCTTTCATATTAACCAGCATTGTCGCCGTTATTTAAAACTAAAACGGATTAAAGGTAAATAAGATCCTAATTTTGAAATTAAATTTAAATAAGCTAAATAATAAAACAGCTATTTATTAATGTTAGGCATTGTACTGTGCAGTCAAAATTATAAATCGTTACAATAAAAAATTAATGGCAGCTGAGGGTCTCATTGTGCAATTTATATCTCGCTGACGTTAATTTAGGCATCCAATCTTTAAAAATACCTTTGCATAATGTAAAAGATCTTAAACCAGTCATATTTTGAAGAGCTTTGCAATTGACAAATATAGATTTTCAAAAGAGTGAATCGAAAGATTCGTCAAAGAGCTAATGCTTGCGAAGTATCCGAAGTTTTTGTATAATCATAAAAGCTTTGTTCACACAAACGTTGCCAGCCTAATAAAATCTGTGGAGGGTTATTTATACGTGATTTGAAATTCAAGGCAGTCTCAACACTGCAATTCAATTAACATTATACCTACACAGTCACTTGCAAACAAATTAAAGACACAAATCAGATAGTGACCTTTCTTGCATTTAAGTCAATTTATTGATGCTAGGCGTAATAGTGGATGCACGCAAAGTCTATTAATTTATCCTTTGATAACTTAAATTATTTTTAAAATTAATGGATTTGCTTATATTTATAATTAACAATCCTTTAATAAAACACCGGAGAAAGTGATCACTCCTTGGTAAATGGTGTTTCAAGAAAAGACAAAAGTAACATGCAAAAAATTGCAAACCAAAAAATTTGGCGTTCCTAATGACATAAATATCCCAGTGTTTACAACCGAAACGCTTTACGTTACATTACTGCCTATGAAATATTGTCAATAGTAGCGGTTATCAATAGGAAGCAAATTTATAAAATAAGTAAATAAACGACAAGTGCATGCCTCTCTAGATTTATTTAAGAAAGCAAAATCTGTTTTTGAAATAATTTACCAACATGGTATTTATTAAGGGCTGCATCGAAAAACATTGCTTACTATATGTGATGTTGGTAGCTGCTGTCTATGTTATTTTTGCATTTAGCATACATCCTATTAATTTAATATTATCAGGTAGCGTTAATTCGCTGTTGTAGTCAATAAGCCAAATTGTCTTTTCTGTGCTTTCATTCGTTCACATTTTTTAACACAAAAAATCGCAAAAAAGTACCTTAAGGCCTTTTCGTATTAATTCGTAAATTCCAGTGCTGCATAACGCTAATCAAAATAGATGCAAATAACAAATTTCCATTTGCACTGATTGCGTTCAACAATAGACTAAATTTTGAATAAGCATTTTTGCCTGTGGATAATTCGTCTGTTTGTGTAACCATTAATGCGCAACTTAATGTTACTGACATGGCACTTCCAACGTTGTGCCACTTTTTTGCCATAGCTAAAACCAAAACAAGAAACCAATGAAAAAAACCAGAGGTGCCCAAGTAAAGATAAATTCAATAAGGTGCCTCTGTGCATAACATTTTAAATAATCGCAATTTTAAAAGTATCGCAGTTTTAGGTCATTTTACCACCCTTTTTAAAGTTTTACTTACTCGATTAATAGCAAATGATTATATTTGTTTCTTCACCCGAAAATTTACAGCCATATAATGAATTCCTGAATTAGGCTATCACAAAAAATTGGCATGAGTTTTTGCTAACTTAATGAGATTAGAAGTAGAACAGGACAGGCCATATTTATAATCCTCAAGGCCAAACCTTTTTTCCACCGTTCATCCTTATCTACCAAACAAACTCTGCCTTCCAAACGTCCTAGTATTTACATTGTGCTTGACGTTCTTGCGGTGGAAATCCCTTTTTTAACGAACAAATGGGAAATCCGAATCCAAAGGAATCGGAACAGAGGTATGCATTTACATTATCACAAACAGCAGTCAATTCCTAAATATCAGGTGCCCAATATTTTGGATTTCCATTGACGTGAGCCTGTGCCCTTGATTGGTTCCATTGAAATATGCAGAATATAAATCAGCTAATTTGTTGTTTATTAGGAATTAAATCTACCTTTTTAATTCGTTTTTTCCTTACAAAACCAGGAGTAACATGATGCATCACGCGGCACACACTCACCTGTGCATAGTCGGATATGAATACTTGCTTCATATACATAGCCGTTTAGCCATTCGAACTTTTGTAAGTTCACCCAGACACTAATCTTTGACATCCGAATCAGTCAGGCACAAACGCTGGTTACACCTAAGACAACATTGCCATTTGGTTGAGTTTTACATTATTGTGTTGTTTCCGATATTCAATTCTTCTTAATCTTTCAGATGCCCTTTGTGTGATTCAAGACAATATGCTAAGACCTACAAAATTTTTTAAGTAAACAAATCTGCGCAAAAGAATATAACATTGCATCTCTATATTGACTTGGACTCAAAAATCGGTAGTAGGTATAATAATGTGATCTTAATCTCCCTAAAATCTGTGCCTGTGCTTCAAACCTGTTATATTTGTTTTTTCCTTGAAATGGGAGTGTACACAAATTAACCCTTATGGTAGTGTAGAAAAGAGAAAAAGTAGATTTCATTTCAATGCCGTATTTTTAAAATAAGTGAGTACGTGGTTCTACATCTTGAAACATGAAAGTGTCAAAAATGCAACTTTGTAAGGGAAAAATTTATGCATTTGTCTCTAAATTATTTCATAATACATATATTGGTATTTTGTGGATCATGCAAACCTTTCACCAAAAATTAATTTTTTTAGAATTCTAATTTAAAAAAAGAGATTTTTGGTTTTAATGTTATAAAGATAAAAAATAGTTATTATTAGAAATAATTAACGTCTGTTTTAGTGTTCAAATTAAATGATTAATTGCGACATTAGTTAATCCCTGTTTTTGAATTTCATTGTCATTTCAGACAAACTGTACGAAAGCTTGTGCCTATCACTGGCATTGTTCGCATTTCTGATTTATTAACTATATCTGGTAAGTGTATCGTTATTTGTAGGTTTGCAGTCATTTTGGTATTGAACGGTCTCTACCTGCTGTTAGTAGCTGGTCTCATTATATTTCATTTTAGTAAATGTTACTTAATAAATATCAAATAAATTTGTATGTTTTTTTGTGAAGGGAATCTATATTCAAAGCTATGTCAATACCGGGATTCTCGGATAATTTATCAACTTTGTCGTATGTAACTCCAAGCAGATGTCCTAAATGGATTTACGACAAAAAGGAAAAGGCATTCCTTACCCGCACCTGTTCATCTTGGGGTTTGTATATTTTTTGCTTTTTACGGAAATTTAGCATATATATTGCTATATTACTGCGTTTTCTTTGCAATTCTGTTTGGCTTTTTTGCGTCAATGCTGGCGGTCTTTCTTCAATTTATGGTGCCTGAACGTTATCCAATGCGTACTGGTGATCAGAGTCTGCTTAAGTTCCGGCCTGGTATGTTTTTTTACTTCCACTTGCGTGCCTATAATTTCAAGTAAATGATGTAATTTATTGTTTTTTTTTAGGTCTGGGTATACGACCCGTTATTAATGAGGATCAGAACATTATTTCATTCTCAGAAAAAGATCCTCAAGTTTACTTCGAATATATTGATAATCTAAATGCCCTGCTATCTTACTACGAGGAGGTAAATCAGAAGCCTGCAATCGGATTTGCAACTTGTGAAAATGGCGTTAAGACCCCAAATGATCCCTATAAAGTGTGCCGCTTTGATTTATCCGAACTTGGACCATGCACAAAAGAGAATAGTTATGGCTATGAGAGTGGAAAACCTTGCGTAATTCTGAAACTAAATCGAGTGAGTCTTTTGTCAGTTCTTTTGTCTTCGCGGGTATTAATTATTCAGGATTCTTTAGTCGAGAGATTTTGCACTGCACACGACGAACGATCTAGTGATTCTATACGTCTTCTTTAATTGTAGATTTATGGATGGATGCCAGATGTGACGGATCCCTCATTTCCTCACACTTTGGTCTCTTGTCGAGGTCAGGTATGTCGTTATTGACCACACCATTGTTAATTTATTTTCATTTTGAAACGTAGGGTACCTGGGGGTTACATTCAGCCCTTTTTTAGTTACGTTCACATTTAGAACTTATCTTTTGTTTTTTGCTTCAGAATCCGGAGGATCAAGTTAACATTGGGCCGCTAAAGTACTATCCTGGCACGAATATCAACGGCACCGAATAGTGAGTTTGATTTTAATTCTGTGTTATAACATCCCTTAAACGCATTACAATGTGTTTGGTTTGGGTACAACTTTCTTTGGATTTTATTCGGTGTAAATGACTAAACTGTCTCTAAACAGTAACTTCGCTATTCCCAACTCTAATCTATCTTGGTCATTTCACATTTCAAACTTTAATTTTCGTCACAATATAGACAAGTTGTGGTACTTTGGCACTCGTCATCGATTTCAAAACCACTGCGGACTCCAATTTCGTCAATAAATTGCGAGTTTGGTCATCGGTTTATGGCCTACGAGGGATGAATTCGATAACTTGCTTCAAAGTTTTGCAGGTTTGAGTAAATCCGTTTGATCGTTTGAAAAACACGTACGCACTGCTCACACCTGATTTCAAACGCGACGCGCTAATATTTGCAAGAATTACGTCAAATCCGTTTTTTTTTAAATACACATTATTTTGTAGTTTCTAGTAAATGCGATTGCATCAAATCCATTCGCAATAATTGTATGTTACTTTTTTTTTACTTCGTTTCAGCGGAGTTTTTCACAACCAGTACTTCCCGTTCCTGGGACAGAATGGCTACACGTCTCCCCTCGTTGGGTTGCAGTTTGAGAATATCACCAAAAACGTCATCATCCTCGTTCAGTGCAGTCTCACGGGTGCGACGAACGTCGATGTTGAGCCCTTCAAGTTTGAGCTCAACATCGACTAACTCAGGCCGTTGATATTAATCCACCCGGGCATAGTGAGGCGTCAGACACCATTGTGCGGCGATTTTGTGTATTTGTGTGCTATTTTACCCCCTGGATGTGCATGCGTGTGTGTGTGTGTTGTCCTACGGCGTTTTACTCAATCACATGTATTGGCTATTTTGTTTAGAAATAACTGTTTTAGTCCCAACCCCAAGGCGCGGACTTTGGAGTGTGTGTGTGTGTGTGAGTGCGTTAGAGTATTGTAGACTTATTTCAATAAACACTTAGCACAGTGTAGTCTGGCGTTTTCCCTTTTCGAGGCCACCCACAGAAGTGATTTTTGAGCATTCATTTCAGACCGCTTGTAACCGGGTTCACCGTGGTTATTCAGCAAACCTAAGGCTTGTGGCTCATGAACGACTACAGGCGTGCGTTCGAGCCTAATAACACCCAACCAATCAGATTTCGCAGGACATATTGATGCGTATTGGACATGGTATGTGGTCAATAGGCGATTGTCGTTGTATCATGCCTTTCCCGATTGTAATTCCATGGAATTTGTTGACCCATATTCCAGCCGTGGTACTGAAACCGAGGATTCTTCAAAGATTCGTTTGAAATCGGATTCCTAGTGTCCCTAGTTAATGAACCATGGCCGTGAATGCGTGATGGCGTTAGTAATCCATTCTTAAGCAGGCATGAAGTCAGCACGATCACTGTGTCCATTTTGAGCTACTTTCTTGTGAAATTCCAGAAATCCTCCAGGTGTTTTAAACTTGACTGACAAATAAAGCAGTGCCTAAGTTTGTCATTTCTAATAAATTTTCTAAAACGTCTGCTTTGTGCGCAAACCTGCTCTAAAATTGACTTCTTTAGCTTTGAATCGCTGTAAACTGCTAAAGTAGACGACTTTTTTGGTGTTTGGTTTGAGAAATTTCACGCAGTAACATCGCCATGAGCCTGAAATGGAATGCGTGTTTACGGCACATGGTTGCCAAACCTTCGTTTCTGTTCGAACAAATTGACGATTTTGCATTGCACGGTTGCCTAATTAGTGACTAATTAGGGCACTAACCAGCGCTTTAGGGGAACTACCTGATTACCCCATTTTGGCGTGGTGTCCGAATGCCCAGCAGTTTGTGTTAAAAACCTTTTCTTTAGCAGTTTACAACTTGGCAAAGCTTGTGCAAAGTAGGTTCTCAGTTCAAAAATCTGAGATCTCAGTAAACGCGACATTTTTCAAGGTTTAGTAAACGATGTGCTTTGGCAAAGTACCAGAGAATTTTGGAGAACTATCAGCCTGCAAAGCCCAATCTGATTTCTTCATGTCAAGGCCAACCCAAACCCATGATACAAATTTGGAGTTTTCCGTCAGAAGGACGAATTCTCAGCTTTGTGGCAAGCACTTTTAAGTCGAAATGTGATTGGTCGATTAGGGCGTGAGGTCATGGGACGTTTCGCGCTTGGTAGTTCATCGAGTTTGACGCTGCACAGGACGCTGCTGTGTGTTTTGTTTGCAGATATCCCTAGGATTGCACTAAAATGATCTTACCAAACTATAAATAGTCACATTAATAGTAGGGGGTCCTAAGAGGCTGCCGACATAATAACCCAGGCTAGGCATGTGCGTTTCTACGACCTGCTATCACATCACTAGACCCCTGACATACATAACTTACTTGGAATTCCAACTTGTAGTCCGTTTTCAGGAACGACATAGTCGCGTTCAGTACAGTGGGAAAGCACTTTTTATCGAGGTTTGAACTTTGAACAATAAAACATGCCACGAGGGCCAGAGATGTGAGCTGAACGTCACAGATCTTCCAGTGCATCTGATCACCTGTTCAACCGACAGCTTTAACTTGCATTAACCAGTAATGGCTGATTTGTTAGTGCCAAAATTGCCCTTCTTGACAGCTTAGGGTGTTGTCGAGTAGTCCCGAATTTATGCACAGCATACATCACGGCCTGCAACCGCCTCAACTCCTGCAAAGTTAAACAAACGCCAAACGAGCCAAATGTTTGCGGAATCAGGTGATTTGTGCCAGTGGGGGGGCATTTTTAAAGTGATTCAACACGTGAATCCAAACCGTGCTACAGGGAGTCGACTCAATTGCAGAATTTCTGGTTATCCTACTGTGTGCCCGCCTGCACGACCCATTTAAATCTTTCTGGTCTACCAGCGTGAATTCCAAGCGTGCGAGAGCAGCCGCGGACAGCAGTGCTAAACAGCCACGCTGACTAGGAGGAGGTGTGACCTTGTTGAGCCGATTCAACACACAGTAAACCGTGCGTGGAAGTGATCACGTGATTTGACACCCAAATTTGAGCTCTGGTTAACACCACTGGGTTTTAAATGCAAGACACTCGTGGTAAATAAGCATGGCGTGTACTTTTGACTACGGTACAACAAATAGTGCATGAGGCGCGCACGAGTGTTGATTCAACTTTTGTTGTTAAATTGGGCAGTGCATTCGCGTCGAGAAAATAGCAAAAGTCGTAAAGAGATTTATCGATTTTTCTAAGAGCACCAATCATAGGCAGTGTAAGCGGTTTCCGAGGTACATCGAATAATGGGTTATAATTTAGGCATCATTTAAAAGAATTCTAGACGTTGACAGACACGACGAATACTTTCCATTTATAAGTAATGCCTCCACCAAAAACTATGTGAAATGTCACACCTAAATTTTGCAGCAGTTTTGATATTTACGTTGCTGTTGTCATGTTTGAAACTTTTTATATTACTTAAATGCAACTCCAGGATGGGCTTTGTTCAAGTACTATTGGCAAAATAACGCATCATTGCAATTTAGGCACCACTTATGCTACCAATAAGTTAAACCACGATGCCACCTTCAACTGTCATGTTGCAGACCATAATTTTTATGTGATTTTAAAGCCCAAAGTCGTGCCGGGCCCGTCAAATTTTACAACTAAACTGCGGTTATTCGTCTAAAGCGAAAAGGAGGAGGTTCGTGTCATTAGGTCATCAGGCTACGATCGCGGAACATGCAGAATTTGGCAACGGTTAATGGCAACTCCAAACAAGCCTTGAAATGTTTTGCGGCTGGCTGTTTTTCCTTCCTAGCCCGCGTTTCCGCTTTTTGCGAAGGCAGTGAATTTGCCTTACACGACTTGTCAAGGCAGCCAAAACAGTTTGCGCATTTTCTACGCGCTGTTTTCAGCAAAAATGCAGACATAACTAGCCTAGCACCAATAAACTGAACTGAAGGGGAATTCTACACACCGGAGCGTCTGAAAAAGGGGGACGCATAGTGCAGCAAACTGTTGTTTAATCCTTCTAGAGGATGTTTCCCACTTTAAACGCAAATTAATCGATCGGTCTGCGATCGGCAACGTGGCTGTGTGGTAAACCAATCACACGCCGCAAATTTCTTAGGATATTGATTTTTGTTGGTGGCGCAGTTAGTTAACCCAGTTCCAAATGAACATATGACTCGGATATGCAAATTATGCATGGTGGTTTACCAATCTGCCGAAATTTAGTGAAAGTTATCCAAATGAACTTGTCTACAAACAAGAGATAACATGTTTAAATCCGCTTTTCTCATTTATACCCTTTGCTTCATAATTCTGCGTCACAACATAACTCAGAAAAGGTAGTATTGATTTATTGACCATTATCGATTACCCCTTCCATCTGCTTTCCTATTGGCCACAGTTCGCATTCCCCATTGGCGGGTAAACTCTATAGGGAAAATATTCGTTATGGTAATCGAGATCCATTGGAGATTTGGAACAAGATGACTGACTACGAATTTCGAAAGGTATTTAGGCAGCTAAATTTCATTGTACAATTACGTCAACTTCCATCTTGCAATTATTTGGTTCCATAATATTTTAGCGTAAAAAGTTTTTTTTAAAGTGAGGTTTAGTGGAGGGATTTATCTATCAGTCGTGATCTTTACTTGTTTCACACCCCCACTTCAAAACTGACACAGCTGTCAGATTAAAACGTCGCGTGCACGTTTGCAGGATGGCGTTAATCTCTAAGTCTAGTCTGGAATTAGCGTTTTCCTTGCGACTTAATCACAAAAGTTAGGCGTGACAGCGTGGTTTTTCGAAACTAGCATCACACGCCGTTGAGTGCGAAGCTGCTAAGCGAGAGGAGGTGAAGAATCGTGCGGATCCACGCCGCCATCGCTGATTGGAATACCTCAACTCTGTGTCTAATACTTGTCGTGGACAATCTCTGAATGAACTAATCAACCCGGCTAGGTATCTATCCTCACACGCAATGACTCATGCATTCCGTAGTCCACACGAATGACCTCTGCGTACGCGTGATCAATTACACCTGAGAGAGCGTAGAATCATTGGTTTATCGAAGAGTTGAGTCCAAGACACCAACAACCATCGTTGTGAAACTTTTTGAAAGTAATTGTATTGTGATTTAGCATTTCTCATATAGCCCTCTCCAAGTACCTTATCCTGAGTGTTTGGTTTTGATCTGACCGCCAGAGCAGCAATATTCTAAGTGGTTACTAGGCCCACGTCAGGAAATTCAACAAATATGGCGTCAGCTTTGTTCCGCTCAACGCTATAGCCGCATCAGATTGACAAACAACCGTGGGGAAGGTTGTAGTGACATTACGTGCATCGCATGCGCAACACATAAAATGCCTGCAACTCGCCTAGAGACTGGGAAATTCATTGCAAAGCAACGTCACCAAGGGTATTTAAAAAAAACTAATATCCAACAGCAACAGCACTCGATTACTGCATTGTTGGAAGCATGCTGAACCAGTGTAGGTCAAATCGAAGCAGAAGTACACTGCCAATTTGGTGGGGGTTAAACGCTTGTGCTCAGTTTAAGCTGCTTCAATACTTGAAATGGAAATATTTCCGTGGTCGTTTGTGGTTTTGAAAGGATGAGGTGCGAGGTTTCAGAATGCCGAACGACAAGTCTTCGTGGGTTAAATATCCATTCAGAAAAGCACTTTACGATGGCAACTGATAAACCGCACATTCGGCAGGCCCTTTTATGTGAATTCCAGCAGGAGAAAAGTGCTTTTAAAGCTCGAGAAACAATTTGTAGTGTTAGTGGTGCCGACTTTGTGCCTTTTGAAATGTGGAGTGATTGGCACAAACGTTTTTGAAGTGGTGATTTCGATCTTGGTGACCATTCTCGCCCCGGACAGCCATTAATGTGTGAAAATGCAGAACTGCAAGCTCTGATGGTTGAAGACTCAACGCAAACGCATCAAAAGCTTGCAGCTCAGTAGGGAGTCGCCCGAACACCTATTTCCAAGCCTTTAAACCACATAATGCGAAAAGCTAAAGACTTGGAAGCTGGTTCCCTCCACAACAGGCAGTGACGGATGATAAAAAGTGGATTTTTTACGAGAATCTCAAAAGTGAAAACTTATGGATGGATCCCGGATGTCGTAGAAAAACGACGCCGAAACTGGACATCTACTTGAAGAAGGTTCTCCTGAGTACCCGGTGGGGGGCACGAGGTTACGCTTTATTACAAGGTCCTGGAAACCGGTCAGATGGTAGGTGCTAAGCGCTACAACCGACAGTTGAACTAACTGAACGAATAACTAGTTCAGAAAAGGCCATTTACTGGGCAGGGAAGCAGGCAAGTCATAATGTTGCTGCTGCTGCTGCTTGACAACGCTCGACCTCAGCTTGCTCGCTTGACCCAGAAGATCGGCTTCAAATTGGGATGTAAAGTTCTCCCACACACGCGACGCATTCACCAGACTTGGCCCCATCCGAATGCCATTTGTTCGGGTCAAAGCAGCAGCAGCAGCAGCATCACGCCTTAGAAGATAAGCAGTTCAAAAGGCTGGCCAATGTGTGTAAGGTTGTCTAGAAGCTTACAAGTTTCTTTCGCGACGGCATTCGTACGTCACTTGAGAGATGGCGCAAGGTCATAGAAAAGGCCGGACAGTATTTCTAAGATTAACTTCGTTCTTTACTTTTTTGCATTAATTTTACTACACTTAATATGATCTTGACCCTGGTAAATCAGATTATCATTTTTCTCAAAGTTTTAAAAGCCTTCCGGCTGATTTAGCAGTAGGAATTGGCACATTTTTAACTAATTGTGTCCAGCCATCCATTTCACACTTGGTAGTAATTTCATGTGTACATATCGCAGAGCTGGCAGAGGCTGCAGCCATTTTGAGTCACGGCAGGAACTCAACCAATCATCTAAAGGAAAATCAGTGGCCAACTAAGGAAGAGGATGGATTAACACCCCAGGTGCTCGTGGTTTGACGATGATTTTACGCAAACCCACAATCCTAGCCAATACAGCGTGGATTCACAGGATACCGGGAGAAGTAATAGGGCATTTGCAACACCACCCACTGCAAACAAGGTGTTATGGGCGGAGGTGTGTCCAAACTGATAGACGTATACTCATCGCCCTGTGTTCAGGAATCTTCGTGAAGCAGTCGGAAGGAGTTACAGTTCCACAGGAATTGACGCCTCCCGCAAATACCACCTCGCAAATCACGTTGATTGAACTACAACCTGAGTTAGTCTGTGGATTGGCAACCTCCACCGTGGCCGAAACACATCTGACGGCGGTTCACAAGCCTCGAGATCACAAGTGACCACTTGATTTGGATCCCAACCAGTCAAACTTGCTACATGCGCGCTTAGTCCCCAACTTAGAGTGATAGAACAAAGCCCACATCACCAAATTCACTTCACTTTTCCATAAAACACTTTATCCGCAGAGTTCTGGTCTACAGCGACATTTGATGAGTTGATGGAAGTCGGGTTAGTGAAAGCACGTGTGAGAAGGGACACCTCAAGATGGGACGACCAGAACGGATGCAACGTTTATCGATCAAAATACGCGGGAGGGGGAGGGAGGGTGGGAGAGACGGTAGTAGACAGACAGCACAGGGGGCACCGTCCTAGTCGAGCTTGAGCTGTTGTTGTTGCTGCTGCTGGTGAAAACCGGAGACCGACCCCCGAGCCGGTTGATTGCCGCCTTCATTTCTGCAAAACAAAAAACACGAGATCAGGTTGGTCGCGCGATGACGTAGCACTCAATAAGGGGAATTACATATTCAAAAACTCAGACAAAAAACTCACTTAGTGGGTTGTGAAGGGGGAATGTTCTCCTCAGCCCACCGCAACGCATCATCCTAAGAACAAACAAAACGTCAGAACTGAAGCAAATCTAATTGGTTGGTGTGAATAGTCACACAGCACGGATTGATTCAGCGAAGTTGTCTACCAAACGCCGCTAACCAATCACGGACAAGACATTTATGTGGGAGTGGTATGATTGGTCAAGTGTGCAAAATAAAATGAACATCGAATGGTCACCTCGGATGCATAGTTTTTCTGCTCTTTGCCGCCCGCCGTTGAGTCGTCATTTATTCCTACAGAAAAAAGATGATACAGCGTAAGTTAAAAACGAACACCGCGTGAGGATAATGGACGCGTTGGCGGTGTAGGAGGTGGTAAGCACGTAATCAATCCTAGCTAGTGAAATCAGCAACCGTGGCGTCAGAGAAGTTGGTGCCAACTGTGGCGCGATGTACCATGAAATCCGGTTATTTGCTAACACCATCAGTGCCAGATCACAAAGACTATTAAGGTTAAAGTCTCTGTAGTGCTTGCGCGAGGAAAGGGGAGGAAGCTGTGAATAGTGAGGATTAGGTGTGTGGGAATCAATGAACGACAAGCAGGAAGGGTCCACAGACATTGGACAAACCAGTTCGAACAGGTGACAGCATTTGCATAAAGGGTAATAGTTTACTAAGGTATCTATTGCTCTACAATTCCAAGTTTTTATATGCTGAGGGTATCTGTCATGGGTTTTCCGATAAATAGGTGTGAGATTAGTTCGACGGCACCAATCGCGATCCAAACTTCGGTGAAGGGCCGAAGTCAGAGAGGCCAAACCACGAAATTTTGCACGGAAGTTGAGGTGGAAGAGGACAGTAGGAGACAACAGTGAAGACGATGACGATGATGGGACTTTGGATGGAGCAACAAGGTGGAGTGCAATGGCAGACGCACCTGAGACGATCGCGTCGAGAAGGAGTTCCTCGAGGTCCTCAGGCGGTGGCTCCACGTCGGGGTCGAGGAAGGCGCTTCTGGCGTACAGCTTGTTGGTGCTGCTCGGACGCCAGAGAACGACGATGGCGAGGAGAATCACGAAGAAGAGAATCTGCCACAGAGTCTCGTCAAACCAGATGTACCGCCAGGCCTGGTGAGTGAAAATGTGAAAGTGAGACGACCGACTAAGCCGTGCGACTGGCTTCTCCTTTCCGAACCATGATTGACCCCCTAATGCTACTCTGTGAACCCTTTTCGCTAAATACTCGTGTAATTATACCCCCACCTCAGAAATCTACGGGCCAGACAGGTTAACACGTCTGCACCACAGGACGTACGTAAACACTGGATATACACACACACACACACACCGATTTTGCGACGCCTTTGGTCTTTTCATTCTTCTCTCGATGGGTGTGAAACCACGTTGGGGCTTTTAACACCACCAACACAACTTTTACGCCGAAATCTTCATAGTTTTGCTCATGCTACGCGAACCCCTAAATAGCACGCTTGGCGTGCGAAAATGATCAAATCCATTTAGAACACCAAGTTGTCAGCGCCCAAAACGTGTGCCTCTGAGTTTCACTAGTAGATGTCCATACTTAAGTGTGTGTGTGTGTGTAGGTTTGAGCAAGCCAGAGCACGGAAAGTGGTTGTGCACCATGTTAACCAATCAACCAACGCCAAAAAAGCCTCAGTGTCGTCGTTAAATTGGTGCTTTTTACAGAACCGCAACGGCCACAATCCGCTTTTCACGCAGCGACCAAGAGTCATTAAATTTCTCTAGCGAAACATATCCATGCATCGTGCGTTAGGCACTAAAAAACAAGCCCGCGACTTAATAAGGGTGCGAGGCGAACTTCATAGCGCTCTAGGGGTGTCGTAAATCCTCATGGCGGAGCGTCTTACTTAATTTTGGCACACGCGCACACACTCGGCGGAAGGACTGCGTAGACTTTTTTAAGTTATACTAAGAAATTAAGGCGACACTCCTATCCGTAGGAACCCGTGGTAAAGCTAGTTGTATCAAGGCCGTAGATACATAAATGGAGCAAAATCATCCCAATGGTTTACTAGATCGCGGTGATCTCAACCATTTTATACGAGGGATGATGACAATTAAATTGGAAATTACACAAACGCGAGTCGCCGGCACGACAACCAATTAGTGTGCTAATCGATGTGATCGGCATCTCAACCTATCCCAGAGCTACAAGATCGGGTCACGCAATTGGGCAGAACCTTGTGCTGGGGAAACCCACCACGCATGACGCGGCCTCCGGATTTGCTTTGACTGTTTGCCACGGGTTAAGCGGTTGGGGAGGAGGGGGGGGAGGTGAATCAGAAACACTGTAGAACTTACTGTGATGCAGGGGTTCCAGTGCAGAAGGATGATGGAAACGCACATGAACAAAACTGAGACTAAAAAAGAAAAATCAAGACAAACTTAAGAAGGCCACTAGCGGCGTTACAGACTTTATCGAGAAAGTGTGAACACCCATTTGAAGCCACTGAGTTATTTCAGATTCTAAACATCAACTGCTTCGTGATTAGGGGACCGCTGTCAATGCTCACCTAAGGCAACAGAGATGAGTAATCCAGAAAAGACGCGATAGAGCTCATGCTTGACCTTGTTACGCCTCATGCGTGTTTCCCGAAGGGTGGAGACAAGGTTGGAGAAACACCACCATAGGATGGCCAGGTCCACGGCGATAAGGGGGAGTGCCCCCAGGAGGATGGTGAGGGAAAGGTCGAAGCGGGGATGGAACATACGAAGCCCGCCATCAAGGAGGCAGCAAAAGAGATATAATACGCAAATCCACACAATGCGACGGTAGGCCGTGCCAAGCCGCGACTTGGTGATTCCATAGCTTTAAAAGAGACGTAAGTGAACTTAAACAGGCCCGATTAATCAAATGTGAATTGTTTCATGAAGAAAGAATAATATGTTAATGTTACAAGGAGGAAGACTAACCCAACACAAACTATCATTAGAAGGAACCGTGCGAGCACCCGCTTCAGACAACTGACGATGAGGGCAAAAATCAATGCACTTTTGACAGTCACTCCTGTTCGGTTGAGTGACTCATAGAGCCCGTAAGAGGTTAGCTCTTCAATGAGTCCAGCCGAGATCATAAGAGTAATGTAGTATTGAATTCTAAGGAGATCCTTCCAGTGACAGAACGTGAAGCATAGCCAGAGCACACCAAGTAGAACGTATGCCAGAGAGAGGAGGCCATAGAACTAAACAGAAAAGGCATTCAACAACACGACAGAGATTAATATTCAAAAACGATAATAATTACCGTCCTCAGAGGGTATTCAATTGCGGAAAGGTATCCGTAGTCACTTTTTATGTCTGCGACTACATGAACTGAAACAAAGATAGGAATTAATGCGTAAAGTGTAAACGAAGATCAGTTTTGTAGCAAAATTCTTACCACTAACACCATCACAACCATTGTTCTGACACCATACTGAAATACCGACCATTTGGTTGCCCTCATTACTTGCTGTATGGCGTACTTGCTGAAAGGTTTCATGAAAATGAATTAGACGAAAAAATACGGTTATGTTTAAGGCAGAATGTTGAGGAGAAATTACCCAAGGACTTGTTGGTGTACATTTAAACTCAGTTTTGTCCTTGCGATCTAGGCGAACATTAGGAGAAACACTGCTAGGAAATCTTGACCCATTAAAATCCTAAATGGTGTGATGAAAGCGCTGCCAAACCTGCTTGATATCAGCAAAAGCATCAGCACACTTTGACAAATAAATAAATTGCGATATCTCCGCATCGACGGATTTAGAGCAATATACTAAAGGGTAAAATGGAACAACAAATAGCAACCATTTATGACCGTTTCGGTGTTTGCATAAACTGATTTGGTAAAATGAAGGGGGACACCCTACAAAAGTAAAACGTCGCCAAAAACGGCACCATATATTACCATGGGCTCAACCAGATCCCAATGTCCAACCTCTGGAAAGGCAGTGACAAAACTCCCACAGAAGAGGCAA